ACTTCTTTCTAAATCTCCTCCATTTTTGTATAGCAAATAAATCAATGACAAGAGATAGTTGTTTTGAAAAAACAGAACTCACTGATCACTCTTGTTTGATACGATGTAATCAGTGACAATGATTGGTTTTTAAGACTGATAATTTAACTGTACGATTCACCATTGTAGTCGATTTGACTATTCGACTCTCTCTTCTAATGGTTACAAGTAACGCTCGACGTTGAGAGTGACTTGAATTTCAACTGAAAGTTTACCTCTTGCTGTATAATACCCTATTTTACTGAACGCTATCGACACTAATATCCCATGTGTGTGTGTAGATGTGAATGTAGCTTGCAGTCTCGGTGAGGGTGTGGTCGCACCTCTCCATATCCGTGTTGATAAGAATATCCGCGAGAATCTCGGCGTGTGTACAGCATCATGCTTCTATTCTTCACTCCAACCGATTAAACTCGTAACGACACACTCACAATCACATAACATACTGAAGTATCCACACCGCTCCAGCACTATAGTCACACGCCAGTGTTGCAAGCGGTAACGGTAAACGACCGGTTCAGATTGGTTCGATCTGGTAAAAGATTTCTTGTTGGTCAGTATAGATTTTTTTCGAGTTTTCTCATGTTTTCTTTTAAAAAAAACTAATTATACAGTTGTTTTTTTCGCAGATCAAACCAATTTTACTAATGTCAATGACTCTTTCTATTAAGTGAATATTCATCAAAATACGCTTAATATATTTTTGTCATGTCACTTTGGTATCAAATTATATTATAGAAACGGGACATCAAAAATTGGTCGCAATATAGAATTGATCGAATGTTTAAGAGAAGCCCAGTTCTTCTTCATTTTTATAAACACGTCAATCTACACACATGTGATTCAATTATATAGGACAGTGTGAGAGCGAGGGTGGCATGTGGACAATAAGAATGTATCCTATGAGATTTACCGGTAGATAATCCTATCAATTAGCAGTAACCTATGTTTATATTCACCTTTTAAATCTATAGAAATGTAACGAAAGCGTAGAAACTATATTTATTGTAAAATAAGAAAAACCGCAGCAGAGAGAAGCGTAAAAAATAAGGAAAATTTGTATGAATTATAGAAAATTTTCGAACGACCTCCTATTTGATCTAGTGTAATGCTTTATACGCAGCACAAGAACTTTACTAAACATTTATATTTGTACTCATCTTTGATATAGTTTTTCTTGAATAGATTATTAGTTAGTTTCTGAACCTATCTGGATTATTTTCTTGGTGATATTTATAAAAATTTATCGTAATTTTATCTTTCGGCATTTCAACCAATTCTACTCTACGACTAATTGTTGTGGACCAAATATCTTTTTCAGAGACAAAACAGATGACAAAATGAATCTGTTGTAAGATATATAGTACATCGACAGTTGATTCAGTATTTCTATCTCTGACGAACATTATATTACTGTACAAAGTTACCCATGTCGAAAAATCCGACAGGATCAGGACGAATTTAAATGAGTGACCTATGGTCGTTCTCTTTCATATTCACTATTATTTGTTTGCGCATAATAAATCATTATATTTATGACGCTAATGGTGAAAAATCAGATAATCTAAATAGAGGAAATCAACTAGTTATTTTTATGAAATAATACTTACTGTTCACTGAGATAATAAGCTGACCTGAATAAAGGAAAAAAATATATACATATTTATTTGTATACCAAAATGCTTACCACTCATTAAGATGATTCAATGAACGGCATAAACGAAAAAAATAGAGTTTTTTTACATGATAATATTTACTGTTGAAGTTTATTGGAAAATCGCCTACGAATCAAGATTTATTACCACATCGAAAAGATCAATGATTAATCACAATTTTAGTTGGAGAAAAAAATTTCAGTTCATAAAAGTAAATTTGTTTTCGTTTCTTTCAATTTCGATTTTTAAACAAAACGATATGCAGAATCAGTCTCGTTTTCTCGACAAGTATGTTTGATCGAGTTGAAACTTTTTTGCAGGTACTTGACACTGTTTGGAGTGCTTCGTTTGCTCTTTTCTGAAGATGATTGCTCTAATGATATTTTGGTAGATTTCAAAAATACAAATGTCCAGTGAAAAAAACATATGTTTTTCGGGGCTCGCTCCATATTTTAATCTTTCTATTCGAATGAAAGAAAATAAAAAGAAACTGAAAAAAATTCGGCATCCAAAACAGTGTCTAGTATACGTACAAATTTTCAGCTCTATGTGACGTGCTGCAACCGAGAAAGCGAGAGGAATAGAAGCAGGAGGCATTTTACAGCCTATGCGAATCCGGTATCCCCTAGAAGGTAGTATTTGCAAATTTTGAGTCTAGATAATTTTTGTTCTATTCATCAAGATCTATGTACCCTGAAAGTTTCAAATTTTTCTGATGAGCCATTTCCCAGAAACACCTGAAAGAAAGAAGAATCTTCTTAAGTATTCATTGAAAGAAATCAAATGGACAATTGAGAATCAATATTTATTATATAATGAACGCTCTCTGTAGACAGTAGAGCATAAACTTGTAAGTCTAAACAAGCTCTTTTTAATGATATATTAATCGATACAGTTAAAACTTGAAGGGAACAGAAAGTTCAAGAAAATATGTGAATAAAAATAATGTTTTTTTTTTCATTTCACTTCATTGGTAGCCATCGTTATAAAAATCTGATTCACAATTCTCGTTTAGTCACAAAATAAGGTATCACAAAAGTCAAAAATGCTTTTATTTCTTCAGACTTTTATTTAAAAAATTAGATTGGCACAACATTGAAAAGAATGTATAAAGATGGCATGGGAGAGTAGCTTTCTGCCATTCTCGATAATACTGTTTACTAAGCTACTCTATGTCACTAGAATGTGCTAATCTCACACATAACACAAATTTATGTAGGAGGAAAAAAGTGAGATGAACACACAGGAAAGCAAAGAAAAAGAAATGTTCAGAGAAAAAATGAATATTATTAGCGAGAGAATGGCATAATATGCTAGATCTGAAGTTTGATTTACTCAATTTTTGGTTCTTGTTTTCTAGATTAATAATCAAAATAAATACATTAGACAAGAATACGACAATTCATATTACGATTTCAAATATTTGTTTTGTCATAAAGAGATCGTGAATGAAGAAACTTTGCAAAGAAATAAATCCGGATTCACAAGATATCGAAATAAAATTCTTTTTTTCTCTTCTTCGCTATTTTATAATTGAAATGTAAAAGGAATAATGTATTTTTAGAAAGAAATAATTCTTAAAGACATTCCTTGGGAGCAACGGTACATCTTTTCTCAGATTTTTTTGGAATTTCAATTCAATTTGAATATCATTATCCAAAACAAATATAAAGAAATAACACTGCTCGTCATACAATATTTACTATACCCAATATGAAACCATACAAGTGTTCAATAAGTTAAAGCCAATCTTACGATCGATATAAAATAATAAAAAGCATGATTTATTACTTTTTTGTCAGTGTACTATATTTCATTACGATGGTTATCTATATTATATTGTTGGCATTTACAGAAACTTTTTGCTATTTTTCTTTCAAAAGAAATATAGTTTGTGTGAATATGCAACCTTCTTTTAAAATACTAGTGACCACTGTTAAGCAACAACAATATCAGCATCATCGAAATGTAAATGTTAACTCATATTATTTGCTTAATTATCTCTTATTTCTTTTGTTACAGAAGGCAAAAGCTATAAATGTTATTCATGTAACTTGAGTCAACATTTTTTTGCATCAAAATCTACCGTGAAGATCAGAAATGATGTTCTCAAGGTGAAGCATTTCAAAATATCTTCAAAAAAGCTGATGATGTCATTTCAAAAGATTTAAATGGTAAGCATAAACAACGGCAGTTAATATCAATGTCAGTTACATGTGTGAGGCTGTCTGAAATATCCAGTTTTGCAATCAAAGAGTATTCAAATTATGATTCGCATTTGCATCAATCGATGATAAGATCATCTTTAGAAAAAAACTCAAATAACATCATAGTTCTCTATATTAAGCTAGCTCGCAATTTACTTTATAAAGTATTAAGAGTATTCAACCATCTCCATCAATTGCGTCTCCGTCTATTGTTCATTCAACACAACCAGTGAAAGATGTTGACCTTGGTTTTTTTCCAACAACAAAGAAAACAACTATTAATTATAAATCATCTTCAAATAACTTGGATAATTTTCGACAGTTTCATACTATTGATAAAGATCCTGTGAAAAAAATCAACATTGTCAACTATGTCCAAATCGTCCGCTTTTCTTGTTATTTAATGTTGCTTCTTGTTTTGGTACTACTTCTGACTGTTAGTATCGTCATACCTGTTGTATTGCTTCTATCCGACACAACGCCAGCTGTTCGAACAAGTATAGTTACCTTTTCTCTTGTTGATATGTTGTTATTGCTCCATTTGCATAAATTACTTATGATTATACTAACAGAGCCCTTTTTTCTTTTTATCTAATTTGATAAAATTATTTTAAGCATAAACAAAAAGATATTCATAATTTACAATGGAACTAATGTCCACTTCGGAAAAAAAAGCCGGTGAGTATTTTTCGAATAACTTTTGATAGAAACGAGATAGAGAGAGGCGGTTTTCACCGTTGGAAAGAGAAGGTGAAGACGCATCGATGTTTATATTAAAAGATAATTTGATCTGGTTTTTCAAGGACTCGAACAGGTGTCTTTGAAAACCAACGTACTCCTTACGGTGACTAAAGTGAATTTTCAATAATCAGGTGTATATCCAAATCACTCATTGAGAATCTACAAGAGTGCAAAAATACCTGTATCAAAATATTTAGCTATTAGTACAGCAGCTCTTGTGGCTACTGTTAGTAAGTATTTTAAAATGAATAATATTTTGCTTGACTTTAATTCTAGCAATAACACATCAAATGTATGCACGACTTATTAAAGTGGTATTGAAATGATAGCTAATTGTATTAATTGCACTATTATTTTTATGTATTATAACTATGTTACTAATTATACAGCAATTAGTAATTCAACTTGTATTGTAATTTCGCTTCGTCGACAAGTCGGTTATTTTGCACTTGATAGTATTTCTATACGAGGGTTTTACAGTATCAAATGTGGAAATACTTGTTAATGGTGATTTCGAATTAGGTGATCTTACAGGATGGTCCTATTGTAGTCAAGATAATTCATCAAACCGAGGTGGAGTTACAGCTAATTCAAATAATTTTACTTATCTTAATTTTACATTTTTTTCGAAATCAGGTTCTCATTATTATGTAGGTGGAAGTACAACGTTTACTGATTATATTAGTCGAACATTTTCAACTACTGTTAACACGCTATATAAAGTTAGTCTTTGGGTTTTTAATTCTGGCAGTGGACCGTTAACCAGTGCTGATCTTTTTCTTGGAGTTGTATAAACATTAAACAAAAGCTATATCATTTTTATTAATTTCTTTTTCTCTAATAACTATTATAATAGGATAAGAGGTGCAGTTCTGCTGCACTGGTCAATTTAATTTCCTATAGAGATCTAATTTATCGATCCAGCTGCCTAACTTCAGCAGATAAGTTTCAAAAATAAGAAGTTCACATAACAAAAGCAAGGTAAGCATTACTGTGCAAGCTTCATGAGTTCCTCTTACGTAAATCAACTGAGATTTTTCTTTTTATTATTCACAAATAGGTTTCACATGGAGCGCAGTATTACACATTTTTAGACCACTCAAACAACGTTCAAATCGACTGGTTAGTGATATATTCCAACATGTACAAGTCGAAGCAACGGCTATAAATGGTGTGAGTGTAGGCCAATGGTACATCTACGCTCGTCCAGAGCCAATAGTCACATCCATACCCACCCTTTTTGTCTGATTATCATAAGCCAGAAAAAGCTTAAAATTAAATCTAGTTTATATTATTATAAATTGCAAAAAAAAAATTATAATTGCAAAGGTAGATGCTTTTGATTATTGTTTCAATACTTGACGTAAATTAAACGGTAGATCATCCCTGAGGTATCTGCAGGTGCTCGTTGGATTTTAATTGTGTTCTTCGTTCAGCTTCTTGCTTGATCATTGTTAGTTGAATGTGCGTTGGTAGACTAGGACTGAGTCTCAAAGCGTAGGGCAATAATGTTTTGAATATTTCTCCAAAATCAACCATAATTTTGATAAACATTGTATCGTCTTGTACATACGGGTTTTTCCCCTGTTGAATAGTTTCCAACGTGAAAAATTTCGGAATACCATTAGCTATATTCACATCTGATCGAGGTCGCTGAAAACTACTTGATTTAATGTCTGGTCGAAATGAATCAATAACATGTGGTTGTGCAAGCGTGTTTGATCGTACAAACAAAATGTGCCTTTATAGTTGAAGGGAAATTTGAGAATTGGATCGTTCAAATCTTGCATGAGCACAAAAAATATAATGACATGTGTGTGCGACGTACATTTTCATCACCATTCAAATGAAGGCGAGCTCTCATTTTATAACCACTTGGAGATGAATAAAATGGAGGCGAATAAATTGATAGTTGTCTTTCAGACTGTGCGCCAACTAGAAATTAGGAAATAAAACTTGTCAGAGTAACCTCTTTGAGGCTAAAATGTGGAACTCACATGTCTTTTTTTCAGCTTCATTAAACTAATACTAAATAGATTAAGTAAACAATGTCTAACAAATTATTATGGTTCTACAAGGATAATCAATAACCAGGGAACCAGTCTGTTTTTATTTATTTCTACACTTTGAAGAAAATTTTCTTAGTTGCACTCTATTTTTAATTTATATTATTGCTATTTCTTGGTCATCAAAAACTATGCTATTTAGAACATTCTGAGATATATTCAATTATTAAAAGCGCAAGGAAAGCTTTGCAATATTTTGAACTTTCTCAATCTTATTATTACTATCATTCAGCAACTTTTTTTCGTTAGTACGGCATCACAGAAAAAGCGTTTGATGTCTGTAGTCCTTGGTCGCTACGGAAACGTTCCCATTGACCATGATAGCGGTTGCTAAAGCTCATTATGAGCAGTTTTGCTAGTGTTGCTATGACTGTCAGCGGCGCTAAAATTATTGAACTATATCCTCACGGCCACCCATTGATCCGACTTATTATGAAGAAGGTAGGCAACGAAAAACCTGATCTAATAACTTACAGTCCCTATTTTTCTTCGTCAAATGTATGAGTCCCACAAAAAAAAATACGTGAAGGACAGAAGAAAGTATAAAGAAATTTAGTTGAAATCACGGCATTGATGATTCATTTCATCAATTCATTAATAGATCACTCATAGATTATATTCGAGAGTTAATATCAGACATGCAGAATCTACTCCTGTGTACGAACGGCCTTCCGAGAAACTTTTTAAAAATTGAACAACATCCCAGAAAACTCTTTTGACAAATATTTTCTCAAAGAAAATGTTTTTCAATTTTTCAAACAAGTCTCGATTTATTTTTATACAAGGTGGGTCAAAAAGTAAGGAAATACAACGTTTTTTTGATTTCGTTGCTATACATAAATAATAAAATTTCTTATTTATATCACATTTACTAAGTCGTGATAGTCACATGTGTAGCATATTATTAGTCTCTGGGCTCAATAGTTTATTTCAAAGGTGCACCAATATATTTTGTATTCTCTTTTGTAACTGTAGCAAAACCGACCATTTCTTATCAAATTTCATTTTCGTTTTTTTTTGTTTGACTAGACCAATTTGAAGAATAAATCGAACAGTATATTCTTTTTTTTTCAAATTTCTTTACGATAAAACAAGGCAGAAAATAATACAGATATGTTTAAATAAGAGATTTTATTATTCATGTATAGAGACGAAATCAAAACGACTTTGTGTTTCCTTACTTTTGGATCACCCTGTATACATCGATAAGACCTGCTTTTCTCTTCGTCAAAACTTCTGAAAGTCACATCTGTGTCTTCATCTTAGTATCAGTATCATCTACTTTTGTTTACGTTCATCATGCATCTTCCCACTTCTTTCATCCTGTCTATATGTGCCTATTTATGACAAAATACGCACTATTTACATTTCCCTCTTTTTTTTTCTATACTTTTTTTAATGGAATGCAGCTACTTGTCATTTTTCTTCTATTGCTATATACAGTTACTGTTGTGTGTGCATATGCGTACAGTATCACTATCCTGACTAATATATAATCATCAGTGGCTGAATCAAATCATTTTTCGTTGGTTTGAGTTCAGTTCTGTTTGGATTTACTTTTGAAAAATTAATTAGTTAGTTTAAATCGTTTAGAAAAAGCACAAGTGACACAAGAACCTGAACTAAACGTTATTGAATAGTAGCTATTTTCTTAATGTGTATTTGCAATGTGTTAAACAGTAGTAGTTGTTTGTTTTTAAGTAAAACTTTAAGATAAGAAAACTCGTTTTTCAATTAAGGTTTATAGCAGGGAAATTTTTTTTCACAAAAATTTGCCGTTCGGTTAATGCATTATTTGTCGATATTATAGAAATTGAATAACATTTTATTCTTTTATTGTCTTTTCAATAAGATTTTCTATATTTATCATTGAGCCTAAAACTAATTGTTTAACTTAATCATTTTCTCTTGAAAGTTTGCTATTTTCCAAACAAATGTTCCTTCGTATGAAACACATTGCAAATGATTGATTTTTTCTTGCAATGATGATGAATCTTGATTGAGAATGCCTTGATTATGTTTTACTTCTCCCAAAAAAGAATTTGATTCTTCAATGGACAATTTAACTTTTGATAAAGCTTGTGTGAATGTTGAAAGTGTTATTTGCATCTGAAGTGATTCACTAATTAGATGTTGTTCATCGCTGGTCAATTAATTGAGCTGTAGCAAGATTACAAGCGCCTACAGTTATTGTGCGAGGAAAATCAATATCCATTTGTCTATCGTTTAATTACGATAGCATTTGATGAACAACATTGAGAACAGTATTTTGATGTTGTTTAGTCAAATAATGATCTTCCATTTTGGCACGGATAATCTAAACAGCATAACTTTTGGGATGTCAATTTCATCTAGGAAATATGCATACTAGTTCATTACAATCAAAGTCTTTTAATATACAGTCAACAATCAAGTGTTTACATTCAAAAACTTTATGTTCATTGAATTTGTTAACTAAATCAAACTGTTTGCTGCAATAATTACATTTGAGATTTGAATGAGATTGATTGAGATGTTCCTTCGGAAGAAAAAGGAAAGAAGATTCAAGAATAAAATAAATGACTTGATAATTATTTAAGACACCAGTTCACTGACAAAAAAAAACAATCAATGGGTAGTGATGTCATGTCAATTGTGAAACCTCGATCAAGCAATATCTACATAAAACACATGGATTTTCTGTTTAATTATTAAAAGATACCTTACGCCGATTGGTAATGTTTCTTTTTGACACTTTCAACATGTAATTGTTGTTCTTGAGAAAGAATACTGAAGAATAATATATTTTATTTCAATTTGATAATGAAAAATACTCTTGTTCAACATTTAAACATGTTTGACATTGATGATGACCACATTCAGCCAATTGTACAGGATCTTGTAGTATCAATAAACACATCGGACAAATATATTTTGTATCAAGAATATGTTTATTTCTTGCATCGATGCCTACCATTATTTGAATTAGTTCTATTGGTCAATCTATAAATAAATGAAAATTTTCATAAATGTTAAAACTAATTATGTAACAAACAGATCATTTTTTAAACAAACTGCACCGAAGAAAATAACATTTTGAAATCAAAAGATGTGATAAATAATTTATCTAGAAATCACAAATTAGTATTAATACACTATAAGTTTTTCAAATTTTCAAAATAAAAAGTGTGAGGAGTTCGAAATAAATTCATTGACTACTATTTGATCAAAATTTCTGTTTATTATGACACGTACGTAAACACACCATAAGACAAATGTTTTGTCAGGTATTTTCTCTCTTGTTTGTTTTCTTGTTTTCTTCCTTTATTGTCTTTGCTTTGATGTAATATTTGACGTGTTTTTTCCAACTTATTATGCACTATCTATTGATCTATTCCAACTTTTCCCTAATATCTGATATTTATATACATGTATATCCATTGTTTCTCTATGATTAAGACAGAAAAATCGAGCTATTCGATTTAGTCAAACTATTTAATATCTAGTCTTTTTAAACATCATAAATAAGCATATAGACAACAACGAATATCGGACATACCACGATTAGAAATGGATTATGATTGATGAACTTTAATTGAGCATCAACAGACACACTATCACCTAAAAATTCAAGCTATGAATCAATATACTTCTATCCACCAAGTACCTTTCTTTCTCCAAAATGGTGTAAGTCGCAACTTTTTATTTCTTTCTGGTCTCAAGTTATTGGACAAATGGATATGTCAAAC